GAGAGAGAGAGAGAGAGAGAGAGAGAGAGAGAGAGAGAGAGAGAGAGAGAGAGAGAGAGAGAGGGCGTCAGCCAGTGTCTGACGCCGAGTTTGGTTTAAACGTGGTATCAGACACTGGCTGACGCCCTCTCTCTCTCTCTCTCTCTCTCTCTCTCTCTCTCTCTCTCTCTCTCTCTCTCTCACGAAAATGAATCTTCCTCTTTATCGAGGAAGATTCATTCTCATTGGGTATGTGTGATTTCGGCTGTTTTTTTTTTTGCAGAAAGTTGTATTCTTTTTCGTCTTTTTTTTTTCTTTTTTTTAACTCCGTGATGTACAACCGGTTGTCCGAGGCTCGGCAATAAAGTCCGAGGCTCGGGAATCATCGGGCTACCGGTAGTCCGAGCCTCGGACTTGGTAGCTGGGCGAGATACTGGTGGTTTAACACGTCCCACAATACCATGCATCCAAAAGGTGTACGTGACTGTTCAGTACAGCACGAGGGCCTCCTTATCTGTTGATTTGGAGATTACCAAATCACAAGCTAGGCAAGCGCAAGTAGTGAAAGTTGAAAATAAATTTCCACAGCCTCACAGAAAGGAGCAGCCAGGAGGAGGGTCAAGAACAGTAATCATAGGGCTACCATTACATTTCACTTGCTTTTTTGGGGAAAATGGAATGCTATTCACATACCCCAGATTCTGCCAATGAATAGGAGTCATAGTACTGTCATAGTAATGTCATACTGGCCTTACTTTCAGTCAATTATAAACTTCTATCAGGCTTAAGAGTTCATGTCTGTTCAGTGCTCAGTATACTAAGTATCCATTCCTTACGGGCACAGTCAAAGATAGGCAAGCACGGTGTTCAATCTACTAACAGTCCATCCTTGGCTCTACACATCCTGCCATCGAACCAACTAACATGAGTTTTGTCACTATTGGCATGTTTACTTGGGCGGCCGTTAGGTCACCTATTCTACAACGACGCAAATGGCCGCATTTCATGTGCAACTTGTAAGACCTTCTAAATTATTTGTTCCCCTTGTCCTTGATTATTTATAGAAGGGCAACGGCCTTGAGATATCATTATCGGGTTAACCAACCCCAGGTAATGCAGCATTACCTCATTGCATTCATCTTAGGTTCGTCAGGATTCAAACTTGGGTATGTAATTCAACAGTTCATGGCTGTCCCAACTGAGCTAGGATCGTCGGTAGCCAGACTGTTACAACCGTACTCCTTGTAGTCTCAACCACCTTCCCTACTGTCCATGATCCGAACAATGACCATCTATATACTCTTTGACCGCAATGCCTCTCTCTCTCTCTCTCTCTCTCTCTCTCTCTCTCTCTCTCTCTCTCTCTCTCTCTCTCTCTCTCTCTCTTCCCCTGATTGTTCTCTTAGCCTACGCCATCTCTGCCTCCTTCCTTCGCTACGTCCGCATCTGGATGAGACGCTGGCTACTGATACCAGAAACAACGAGGCTGGCCCCATCATTCATCAGCTTGGGCATATGACCTGGTCATGCCCTTGGGCTACATACCGACAAGAGAGTATTGAGGCAAAGCTCTGGCTTTATGTTGGGTTCCTAGGTGCTAACCAGCTATGTCCGAGTTTGATTGGCCTTCCTCTCCTCCATAGTGTCTCACCATAGCTACCTGGGACACTACTGCTCGTGCGTGCTCACTGTCTTCTTGGGCACCACTGGATCTACAGCCACGATTTACAGCCACAGATAAAGACAAGAGGGGATCTGTGACACTTGTACAACGGAAGCTCCTGAGCTGGGAGCTTACCATCAAGAGAGGTCAAGGTGAAGCCTGCTGGTGTCATGCTGTTGCGCCACCTACTTCTTCTTTATTGCTGATACCTTTTCTGTCTTCTGTCTTCTGTCTTCTGTCTGCTGTCTGGTTTGCTGGAAAACATCACTAGGCAGGTTGAACCTGTAGTGCTGCTTACATTCCGCGGTGTGTTCAGTGTGGTGACAAGTAGTCGGATCCTAGTAGTGCTCTCTCTATTCTCCGCTGGCTGCTGATTGCGATGGTTGAAAGGTGCGCCTGCGCTGGATGATTTTCAACTCGTAGGAAATAGGAGAGGAGAGGTCATCAATTGCAAGTATGGGTCATGCAGTGATGGGTGGTTCATCGTCGAACAGGGTCCCAGGATCCCCCCTTTAGCTAAGGGGGGGTGAGCAGGACAATGCCAATAAGCATTTGTTGGATCGGTGTTGTATGTAGTTCATGCATCACGAACATGATTGTTCGATCAAACTTGGCTCCTTGCCGTTTTATTTGTGAAATGCAGAGGCCAGCCACAGCTACGCCGAAGCACAAAAACTGGAGAAGGGTGGAAAGAGGTGGGAACAGGGTGTGCACAAGCGGCCTAGCTCAGTCGGTTGAGCACATAATTGGCACTCAGGAGGTTGGGGGTTCGATTCCCAACGTCCTCCTTTCGATCCCCCACGGTCTTCTGGGATATATGCTTCGGGTTCACCAGCGGAGATGGTTGGCTTGGGCCTCTTGGCTGGTTGTGTGAAAGTGATCTAGGTACTTTCCAGCTGACGTCAGGTGTTAGGAGCTAGGATACTGCTCTCCGTATAGTGTAGAGGTGTGCTGCATAGAGCTGAGGTGTGTTCTGCAAATAGGTAGCGTTTGGTAGACCCATAACCCTTAGGACTGTCTCCATGGCCTAGTCTATAATATTCTGAAAAAAAATACCCTGTCCCCTGTATGAGGAGGAGACATTTTTTCTATATAAAAAGGTGGGAACGGGGTGCCAAGGGGGTTGAGGGTTTTCAGTTTTCAAGCACATGAATACTTGCCAAGATCATCTCTCTCTCTCTCTCTCTCTCTCTCTCTCTCTCTCTCTCTCTCTCTCTCTCTCTCTCTCTCTCTCTCT